AGATCCAGAGACCGGACGGACAGGAGCTGTTATGTACATCCCAGCATACAAAATAGGCATTAAAAAGAGAACCCCAGATCATCTGTCAGTATATATAGTTGAGCTTATGGTCATTTTGATAGCATTGCAGTGGGTAGAAGAAAATAATGAAGGCAAGGTGGTCATTGCATCAGATAGCTGGGCAGCACTCAGTAGTATTAAATCAGTTAAGTCCTGTAGGCTAGATCTGGTATTTATTATTCATAGTTGTCTGTGTAGAATATATCATAAGGGACTGACTGTCTGCTTTGTTTGGGTTCATGCCCATGTAGGGGTAGAGGGAAATGAAGACGCTGATATTCTGGCAAAACAAGCACTCAAATAAAAGTCAGTTGACATACAAGTTCTGTTAAGTAAATCTGAAGGTAAAACAGTCATTAAAGAGGAAATGCAAGAATACTGGGAACTAAATGAAACTGGGAGACATAGATAGATAGATAGATAGATAGATGTTTATTTAGTCCTTGCGGAAATTCATTTTGTGTCATACAGCAAACGTCAGATAAACAAAATCAACAGACCAACAAAGACAAACCGCCCCGCCAACACAACATCTATACAAATTACACTAAGGTGCAGCTCCCCAACACCCCAGGATTTAGCTCTTTTTTATCTCATTCTTTGTTAAGAAATCCAATACCAATAGGTACAAATGACCCGCGGGCCCAGTTGGTTCGGAGACATGGCACCCTAAACCTTCTGCCTGAGAATAGCGGCTCATACTCATATTGAAACAGAAAGTGTTCACTGCCAGGCTAACCCCATCTCTCTGTCAAAGCCCAAAAGAAACACAGGTGAACAGGTGAAGCAAACCACCATCACTTCCGCCCATAACCCTGGTGGACACACCCACCCCCTACAATCCGAGTGCAGTGAATAATATGAATGAGACCATAAACATAGAACAAATGGGAGACTTACAGGTGGCTCCTACAATCTCTAAAAATCGCCTGCCCCTTCCTCACCGACTGGTGATGCTAGTTTGCTGTACCCCTGCAATCTTACTGGACATATTAACTACCTTGTGCAGTTTATTTTTATTATTCACCGACAATGTGAAATACCAGGCAATGTAACAAAAAGTTAGGATGCTTTCCACAAAGGAGCGATAGAAGAGGACCATTATTTCTCTGTCCACATTAAAAAGTCTTAGTTTACACATAATATATAGACGCTGCAACCCTGTCCTATAAATAACATCTGTATTAAAATTCCATGACAGTTTTGCATCGATTATTGTTCCTAAGTTTTTATAATCATCTACCATTTAAATACTCTCTCCATCCATAGTAAGTGGTTGGTGGGTGGTGTCACTTCTGAAGTCAAAAATGATTTCTTTCATTTTCATGGTGTTCAACAGAAGAAAACTTGCCCTACACCCAACCCACTCCTGGTAGCTGGTCTCCTTGTCATCTTTAATCAAACCAATGAGTGCTGTATTGTCAGCAAATTTAATAGTAACATGCTCAGGTGTGTTGCTTCTACATTCATTTGTATAAAGGGTAAATAAGACTGGGGAAATAGGGCTCCCTTGTGGAGCCCCTGTGTTAGTAATAATAGGAGAAGACACTGCCTTATTTACTCTGACACACTGTACTCGGTCAGTCAAAAAAGACTTACCCCTCTGACGATGTGGCCATTTACACCTAACTGCAGTAGTCTCTCCATCATAATATGGGGTCTGATAGTATTGAATGCAGATGAAAAGTCTACAAAAAGAACACGTGCATATTGCTTGGTCAAGATGACAATAAATATTATGCAGCATAAATAACAAAGCATCCTCTGTACTCCTCTCCTTCCTATATGCAAATTGCAGTGGGTCCAATTTATGTTGCACTTCCTTCAGGACCTGGTTTAAGACAATCCTCTCAAGACTCTTCATTACAATTGATGCTAAAGCAACTGGTCGATAATCATTTAAGACAGACGGTCTTGATGTTTTTGGTACTGGCACTATGAGAGAAGTTTTCCATACCCTGGGAATCTGGTGTAAATCCAGGGACATTTGAAAAAGCTGTCTGAACACAGGACTAAGTTGTTCCCCACACTCCTTCAGAACCCTACCTCTGATCCCGTCCGCTCCAGCTGCCTTATGTGGATTGATCTTCTTAAAACTTTTACCCACCTCCTCTGCTGTTATAACCAAGGGCTGGCCATAGTCCAGATGTTGCCTAATCACATTACGTTCAGTGCAAAAATCAGATGCGTCAAATCTGGCATAGAATGTATTTAGATCATTTGCCAAAGTCATATCGTCTCTTTTCTTCTCCTCCTTCCCTATCATTGTGTACACTCCCTGCCATGCCTGCCTTAAATCATTTTCCCTCATCTTATATTTTTGTTTACAGTCGTTTGTATAACTTTCATTTGGGACACCTCCCCCTGCTCAAAAGTTTCAGTGCTTCTTTAAGTTCCCTATTTACCCATGGTTTATCATTTGGGAAAACTTTAATGTTTTTTTTCTGGGATTATGCTGTCCACACAAAACTGTATATAATCTGTCACCACAGAGTTAAGTTCTTCCAGGTTCCTGGAAGTGTCAAACAAGGTAATCCAAGTTCCAAGTCAAGTGTCCTCTCCCGTCTCGTGGGACAATTAAAGTATTGGTAGAAGGTAGGCAGTACATTTTTGATGGTACAACCATTGAAATCCCAAAGTACCATCTTAGGGGCATCAGGTGCAATGTTTTCTAATTTAGACATTGTGTCATATACAGTGTTGAATTGTATACAGTGTTGTAATAATATTACTTTCCCCAGTAGCTAAGTAGTATAACTAATTACTTTTCTAAAATGGTAATATTATTAGTAGTTACTAAGGCAAGTAACGCTGCGTTACTCGTTACTGAACGCACCATCCTTGACGTAAATCCACGACTGTGCGGCAGCTCAGCAGGACCGGACTTTGTTGTTCATGTCCGCTGATAGCCAAAACTAAAGGAAGAATGGAGAACGAGGGAGAGAGGCGTTCTTACCACAGCTGGAAGTAGCTGCTGTTACGAGGTTGTGTGGTGTGGGGACAGAGAGGACCCAAATGCAGCACTCTGAGGGAAGGAGGTTTATTGAGGGAAAAAGGGGTATAGGGACTGGAGTGGAGGGAGAGGAGGACGTCAGGGAAACACAGGCACGGGGAACCAAGGAGCCTGGGGGCCAGGGAGCTGGGGAACACTGGGGCCGAGGTAGCGAGGAACGGTGGGAGAACAAGGAGGTCCAAGGAGGAGAGGGTCGGTGGATGAGCCCAGCCGACTGAACGGAGGATGAGGGTGAGTGTACCTGGGAGGGAAACAGACAGAGAGACAGGGTTAGAGATGACAGCGGCAAGACACAAGGAAAATGTGGAAAAACAAGAAACATGAAAGCCTGCACACAGAGGTGGTACCAGGTATGGAGCAACGACAATCAAGCGAGGATGGTGTGGAGAACCGGGGTTGAAATACAGGCAGGCATGAGGTGATTACTGGCAGGTGTGGCAGGCTGACGAGGTGGCTGATGGGATGCAGGTGCAGGTAGTTGGCTGGGCTCAGGAGCAGAGGGAGAGAGAGAGAGAGAGAGCACACACAGGGGAGGAGACACAGGGAGGCAGGCAGGGAACAGAAAACCAAGGAAAAAGCAGAAAAACAGATAAAAAGGAGAAAAAACCAGGACACTCACCGTCAGCCGGGCTGCCACCACAACAACTGCTCCATTATTGTGTCACAGTCTAAGATGCAAAGAACATTGTCATCTAGTGTAAACTGTCCAGCAAAAAGCTTTCAGTGTGAACATTTCTACATCTGATTTATTGAAGCATCTGCTCACAACAATGTGAAACTTACAGAAAGAAAGTCCAGCAGCTGCTGTCACTGATGCTTGGACTCGTCGGGAGAGAGTGGCGTTAACGTAATGTTTTGTAACTGCTTTATAAACAGGCTACATGTGCAGAAAAAACAGCTGTTCAAAAGTCGGGATTTACTTGAAACGTTAGGCCTAGGCCATGCTCTGTAAAAACCACACTCCTTGCTGCTGTTATGGATATGATGTTAGTTAAAAAGCCCCCCTGCTGTCATTCTGTGGGAAACACTAGAAAGTAAAGTGATAATATTACTTTTTTAAGGAGTAATAAGTAACTAGTAATATATTACAATTTCTGAGTAACTTGCCCAACACTGGTCATATACTGGCAGTCTTGATGTTGGCAAAGGGGTGAACGTACACTACATTGACAAACACCTGACCAAACTCCCTGGGCAGGTAGAATGGCCAAAAGGACAAAGATAAAAGTTCAATTTCCTCCAAACAATGAGACTGTATAGTTCCCGCTCCATTTCTCATTTATATAGACACAAACAAAACCCCGCCCCGTTTTTTACCCGTTACCTGTGAGTCTCGGTCCAACCTTATAGGGTCGCTAAACCCTGTGACTCCTAGTGTAGAGTTGTCAATCGTCTCCTTGAGCCATGTTTCGGTAAAGCACAGCAAACAGTATACAGAATCATGTTGGTCTGGGAAGAAAACTGTGGGTGCTAAGGATAGGAAACACAGGGCTTAACCACTCACTTTAGAAAATAGGTAAACACCCAACTGGACACTGTGTAAAATATAATAGTTAAGAGATAATTCAGCATGTGCTGGTTGAGTGTAGGGTCTATGTGGAGACAAGGAGGGAAATAGTAGCAGTTGTAGAGAAAGCTAAGCCTAGGTTCACTGTCGAGAACCTGCTTGGGGATAAAATATGGGGAATATCTAAGCACCTCATTAAATATCTGAAAGATACGGATTAATGGAGAGGATATAGGTTTTTCAATTTTTATTTTGTTTTTTCTGTTTGTTCTTTTAAATTGTTTGTTTATTAGATTTCAAGTATGTTAGTCTGCAAATTCTCTGTTCCACTCTTCAGTCCGGTAGGTGGCGGTAATGCACCTAAATCCTGTATGCCAACCGCCAATCAAATCAAAAGAAGAAGAAGAACCTTCCGCGTGTGTCACGTGGTGAGCCCGCACAGAACTGATACAGAAGAGGCTGCATCATGGAGCACGCGGGGGTGTCGTTCACAGTGAGAACGCGCTTCGACCGGCTGACAGATGCGTACAGATGTTTTCTGACTGACTCGCGCCCCAGCCAAAGCGCTGCCGATGCGGCGGCTGTCATCTTTTCCGGGGTGTGTGGACAGGTTCCCGGTGAGGACAGAGTGCTCTGCGGCGGCAGCAGTGCGGAGCTCACCTGCGTCGGTGTCAGTCTAGTGGGGAGGATCGCCTCCAGCCTGGCGTCTCAAAGGCTGCCTCCACCAGTTACGCTGTACTGCGTGGACATCCTGAGGGTGCTGGTTGAAGACCTGGATCTCATGTCACAACTTGTGAGTGCCGCATAACACCAGAACTGCGTATAGCTACAGTAACACGATTGACTCACATTTTATTTGTAATCTCTGTTCAACCTAACTTCTTTAGGAGAATCTGTTAGGACTTAGGAAAAGAGGACCGCGGGTCTAAGAGAATCCGACTGCACTTTTCTAAGCGACGTAATTATGCGACGGCGGATTTATCAACATGTCAACTGTATGTAAATACAGTGTTTCCCACAGAATGACAGCGTATCAGACATGATTAAACGGTTGAAACGTGGACAAAAATCATGTAGGCCTATAGAAAACATGCGACACCGCAAATGTGGTGCTTGACAGTTAAGGGAGAGACTCGAAACAGGTGCAGCAATATTACTTTATTTTTTGCTGTTCTTTTTTGTAGCTGAAGACAGCAGTGGAGATGCATGCTGCAGGCGGGCTAGTGACTTGTTACAAGTAACTTAATTTTGCAAAATAAATAAAAAGTAATTGGCAACTTTTCACGTTCCTTTTTTAAAACTGTAGTCTACTTTTACTCTTTACTCCAGTATTTTCTGTGGGCCAGTAATCTACTTTTAATGTGGCTACATTTTCCATTCATACCTTCATAACTTCACCAGTCTGTAATCTGCTATAGGTTTCCTTAACCGAATGATGTCAGCCAGGCTGTGTGCGCGCAGTTACGCAGAAGAACGCAGGTCTCCTCTGTGGTACAGTGACAGGCGCTTATCACAGATATGAATGAGCTGGGCAGGTGTAAACATTTAGAAAATAAGGCAAATACCTTTTCAGTTAATGGCTTTATTGTTCTACTGAAACCCAGTGAGCCACACCATGGCGCTGGTGACCGTGGTGTAGATCGGCCATTCCAAATTTAAGATATCACATTGCATCCTGTTTTTAGCATTTTTCACAAAAATTTGTTAGCTTATAATTGGGACATTTTGTGTCGGATGAAAATTTCCTCTACAAACCTTTATCAGCTTGGTCCAGAGATGGTCTATGCCAAGTTTGGTGCTGACTGGAGTTTCAGAGATGTTAATTAAAATAACTTTTTCAGTTTTTGCAATTTAGCAAATAAAAATGTCATGACACAAAGGCGTGTCCTATACCATAGGAATCGGCAGTATCCCCCAAACACGTAGACATAAGGTCTGCTGGTACCCACTCGGGCTTGGACCCCTAATAATAAAATATTTTCTACCGTGGCATCTAAACAGCCCTCTTTCCCACAGGTCCATCACTTTCATGCTGAGGATCAGATCATCTCACAACTGGCTGCAAAGAGCATATCAGTGTGTGTTTTCTATCATCTCCAACAATCTGTGAGTTCTGAGTGCTGCAGGCCGCTGAGCTTTTAGCCAAGTTTGCTTAGAAAACCTGTTCATTTCTGTCATTTTTACAGCCTATGAAGTCCATTTTATGTGAAACTCCTTTACTGAGAAACTGCCTTTGATCACCCCACCTTTTCACCTGGTTCATCTATACAGGCTCAGGTTGTGTCCAAGCTTTGTTTATATGTTGACTGTATTTTAAAAGGTTCAAACAAACCAGTTTTAACAAATAGTAAATGTTCTCTGTCACTACATAATTAAATAAATAACAAAGAAGACTCTTTTGTTAAAGCAAAATCTGGCTGGTACAACATGGTATCAAGCTCCTCAGGCTGATGGACTGTTTAAAAAAAACAAAAAAATATTCTGTCACATACTGAATCTGAATTTATAGTAATTTGTAGTAATGTGGGTTATATTTATATTTTCAATGTATATGCATCATGTGCATTCAATAAAAACATTAGACAAACAGATAAAGGATGTTACACTGGCACAGTGGAGGAACAAGTGCCATAAATTGCACTCCAAATAATTGCTCCAGGCCAGTGGCAGACTCAGGCTGTCTGAGGGGCAGGGTCGAAAAAACCACCACTGCCCTAGGCTGCGAGCTAAAATGTATCTTTTTTTTTTGTGCAGACCAACTAAACTATCTATGTGACGCTAGCAGTTAACTGGAATTAATAATCTCCACATTCCCTAGACTTTACAATAGTATATAGTCTCTTTGTAGGAACTTCAGTACATGCAATAACATTACAATCAACCTGTTCAGTGTTTGTTCTCATAGAGAAATGACTGTCAGGTCATGCAAAGAGATTGGCCTAAAGCTGCCCTACAGATTTGGACATTGACATGGCAGGTCAGGAGATTCAGACAGAGGGGTGGTAGGGTTTTCAGAGGCAAATAAAAATCTGTGTTTGAGCTGATCAGTAGTGATTAGCAGCGATGATTTGACCTAAACCTAGTACCTTTATATAGCAGCACACTGACACATTTTATGTGTATAATATATACTTTCATTTTCCAGAGTACTGTCAGTCCTGTCTGGGAACAGAAGTGTGTGCAGGCCTTTTACGGCTCACCCCCCGGTACCGAGTTGGATGCCTGTCTGTGGTCCTTGACCGAGGTCTTAAAAAGACTTCTTAAAGGAGGTCATCAAGGTAACGCTTTGTCCATTCAGTGTGAGCAGAAACTGTATGTTCATTTAGCTTAGATCTGAGTGATGTCCAAACTCTGCTGATGTGTGGAGCGTGTTGCTCACTATCTCCCACTAGGACATGTCAGTCCCTGAAGAGCTCATCGAATCTGTCACAGAAAGAATGTTAAAAACAACTATAGCCCGGCTGATACTAGCTTTTAAATTCCAATACCGATAGCAATAGTTGAGAGTTACAGAATATCAATAATGGTGGAACAGGCCATATTCATTCTTTTGCATTAACAGGGTTAGCGCTACAGAACGCCTTTCATCACAATGTAGACGTTCATCACTACATTGAATACGTACGTTCGAAGAAGAAGTAATAATATACAGCAGGGTCTGCAAATAAGTTTTGCATAGGAGCAATTTATTATCCATTAGAGGGTCAGAATATAACACATATATTTGAAGTCATTGTCATTTTTTCCCCCTCTCTTTCGACAAATTGATTCTGCAGCGACAGTTTCTCAGCTCACAATACAGCATGTGCTACAGTGTGTGTGCGTCCTGGTGTTTGATCCGCATCCATCAACCTTTGGACGCTTTTTCATTTCTCCAGTATCTTCGAGGTATGTTTTCTCCCATTTGGTGGGTGTGTCTCAGGTGTTACAGAATCAGCTGCGAAAAGTTTGTAAACACAACAGTGTTAAAAGGGAGTAAAATTCAGTGCGTACACGGCAGAGTGTTCAGGGAACCACAGTTTCAGCAAGAAAAAAACGTTTTGCTACGTTTTGTCTGCACTAAACTGAGCCATGTTATCTGACAGCTCTATCAGAGGTGTGTCAAGCAGGCTACAGACTCTTTTAATGTCATTTGTCAGTTTAACGTCAGTTTTTCAAAGTAAAAGCTCAGTTCAACTCCAAATACTGAATTACAGTAAACAACTTCCTCGCGCTTTTATTTTGCAAAACACTAGAGAGGAAGTGATTATGTGAGTAACTGTTGCTGTCATGACTGAGCTCTATTTCATAAGGGTGCTCCGATCAGGATTTTGGGGGCCGATCACAGATCGCTGGAAGCAGTATCTGCTGATACCGATCGGTTCTATTTGAAGCCTTCTATTTATCATGTCATATATTAATTTAAATATTCTTAACAACAATGTATTAAAGTATTAAAATTAACAGAAGATAATGTATTGTGAATTGTCAACTGTTTACTTTTATTGACAGGAAACGTTCAACATTCCATGCCCTCTGTTAGAAACACACCTTAAACAGCTTAGAGCTTAACAAATAGAGCCTTATTTCAGAATAAATTACAAAAAAACTGTCATTGTTAATTTACACAAACTTAAAGTGTAATTAAACTTAAATTCACTTAAACTTAAAGTGCAGGGCAAAGAGAAAAAGTCCCATATCTTGGGATGTCAAGATAAAAAGGCATGAGGTATTTGAGTATCTAAAGCTTGTCCTCCTGCTGTAATGAACTGAAAATTGAAGCCATGACGTTAGACATTCTCTAAACAGTCACATATGTTTAGAGAATTTATAAGTAATTGTTTTGCTTTTGTCCTAGCTAAAAATCTAAAAAATGTCCTTTCAATCACTGCAAATATTTCTTTAGCAAAACAATTTTTTTGTATTTTTGTCAATTTCAGACAAATCCTAACTGTAAATGTTCCTCTATGAAGAACTTGGTACGCTTGTAAACAATATTGTGCTCTAATAAACCATTTGATCATAAACCCATTGTAGAGCTATAAATGGTGATGAAACCGCAACAAAAGTCAACAAATATATTTAATGTTTTCCCAAAAACCCTGAATCAAAGAATAGAAGACAGACTAAGTAATTTCCCTAACATTTTATTGTTGTGTTTTTTACTTTTATTGGTAACATGTAATATGTTTTATATTTTCTGTGAATATAATCCTTTTTATATCCAGTCTATGATATAATCCAATTAATCTTATTTCCATGCTGTATAGACACCTTATTTTGAAAACCGGTCGTTGTGTGTATCCTCGCTCTAAATTCAAGTCCAACCAGAGTCCGAACTTGATAAATAATGTTGTATGTGGTTCTCGTATCGCGTAACATAAAGACTTCACAGCCTCTCTTCAGGTAGGACTCATACTGCAACACGTGTCTTTGTAAAGAGACAAACTGACAGGATAAAGTCGCTAACCTGCCTGTCAGCTCACTCTGGTCCGTTACTGTGGATTTACCATAAAGGCTTAAATACGTGTGCACTCTAAATGTAGGCGCGGCTAGCTTAATCGCATTCTCACAAATGAGTGACAGAAACAGATCGTTTACGTTACCATAGTTACCTCAAAAGAAAAGTGATTGTCTCGAGTTGGAGGCCAAAGTGTCTGAGCGTGCGAGCTTACAGTAACGCAGAGCAGCGCCCACAAAACACAACGTTGGTGGTCTGTAATATATTATGAGATGTGAAAATATTTTCCGGTTCATTTTGAAACTATGGTGGGCTGCCATGGTCTCGATAATTAATGGGAAACACTGGATGGTATATAGGCGCTTCGATTGAATGTGTTCTGGACTGCTTCCAACAACGTGGCTTTCGTTTTTACACCGTGGTCCGTCTCAGCTGTTTTCTCCAGAAGACGAGTTAAAGCTCTGATGGATGGTTGAACATCTGCAGCTGATGCAGTTGATGCGCTGATCTGTTGCGTGAGCTCTTCACACGGGGCAAGTAGAGAAATCATATTTTCCACCAATTTCCACTGGCTGCCGGTGAAAATGGAAGGCAAGTCATAGTCAGCTCCATAAGCACATAGGGCACGCTTCTGTTCCAGCAGACTCTTTAGCATACAAACTGTACTGTTCCACTTTGTAGGTACATCCTGTTGTAGCCTCTTAATAGGCTGGCAAAGTTGCTTCTGAATACTTTGAAGTCGAGAGTAGGCAAGCTGTGAATGTTTGACATAACCGACGATGCATCTTCCACAGGCTATAATATCAGCGATGCCGCGTTGTGATAAAACTCCGTTGGCAACGGCAAGCTGCAGTGTATGAACCATGCAAAGCAGGATGGGTAGATCCGTATCCCTCATGGCCTTTACCATGTTCTTGGCATTATCCGTTAAAATAACGTGCACTTTTTCCTAGGGGATTCCCCATGGGCGAAACAGACATGGGACATACAGTTGAACTCCAAATATCTCTTGTAAAGCTGATTGATGTGATGTCCTTTATAAGGCTGTTAACATGTGCAAACACTGTTTGGTATAACTGCGGTAGGCATTCAATAAAGGTCGTAGCAGAAGCCCTAAAGCGACTGGGCAGTGCATCTGATCATCGTCCACACATCGTCTGGAGGGCATTTACGACCAAAAGCCGATGTCTCAACGACATTTTGCCAATTAGCATTCGCTGTGCATACAACGTCTTGGCGAACTTTAAACATCGGGCCAACATCTGCAAGATGTATGTGTGCTATCTGGGTGGGCCACTGACAGACAACATGGAAAATGTAGTGAGTGTGGAACATTGTCACTGTTTCTGCACCACAGTCCATCATAAACCACATAATAGAAAAGGTTTATACAATCATTGACAAGGGGAAACATGTTAATTCTCTCTGCAAGTATGGACCCTCGCCAAAACTGCCCGCCAACAATAATAGGTTAACCGTTCAGCACCCTACCACGTCCCCGGTAAGAAGTGAACCACCATTGTGGTACTGAAAACCCAGGGTTAACCGTGAAATTGCAGATTCTGGAGCTCTGCCAGTGTGGCTGTGAATTTGCCACGGGCTTCGGACGCTGCACAAAGGTGTTAATCATCACTTACTGTGTCGCCTTTGTGGCGCTCATCAATGGCTTTAGAGTAGACTTGAAAAATCTGAAGTCGGTCTGACTAATTCTCTAGGACAGGGGCAAGTCTGGCATCAGGCCAAATTTCTTCAAGCTGTTAAATGGCGGGCCAGAACAAAGTCAAACCATATGAAATCATGTGCACATTTAGCTCAGTTGGTGTGGGACTCCCGATGGGTAGATAGTGAGATCAATCCATCTTATTGCAGATATTTTTTTGTCCCTTGTTAAACAAATTGAATAAAAGGACACTTTTGCACATGCTTACATAAAGCATGTGCTGCAGTGTGTGCGCGTTCCGGCGTTTGATCCGCATTCATAAACCTATTATTATTTTCATTTCCCTAAGAAAATTCAGGGGAATCCAATCACACGTTTACTGACGGCTTTTTCAGAGGTGTGTCAAGCAGGCCAGAGACTCTTTTGAATGTCCTTCAGAACTCTTCAAAATAAAACCTCATCATAAACTTGACATGAATCATTGCGTCAAAAGACGTTCTTGCCCATTTATTTTAGAGGCACAATCACTTAAGAGGCAGTGATTATGTGAGTAACTGTTGCTGTCATGACTGAGATCTATTTCAGCACCAGCCGTTATCTATTTATTTATTTTTTATTTTTCTGCTATCAAAGCAATCTGGCCGCTGGCCAGATATTATTGCTGGCGGGCCGCCTATTGCCGACCACTGCTCTAGGAGGTATTTCTTAAAGTATGTAGTGTGTGGAAAAATCCAAAAATAACCTTAAAATTCAAAATGTGTTGTGTTTAGGGCATCACTCCAAGAGGCTTTTTTGTACATCTGGACATGAAACATGCGGCACAGAAATTTCATACATGTAGGTAAAACATACCGCAGGGTCTGCTTCGTTGAAGGTCACTTCCTATTGCCAGTAGGTGGCAATCAATCAATCAAATTGACTAAAGAAAACTGTATAGAAAACGTTACAGATCATAAGGTGAAGTAACAAGGCGTTAACGTAAAGCTAGCTCATTAAGTAGCTTACCGAGACGCGTCGTATTCATCCACAGAGCAACAACATTACGTGCCGCCTCTTCAGATGCTCCGGTGTTTCCAGGAAAACTCAGCTTTGCAGATGCTGCAGTTAACAACCTTTTTTTTAGCTGAGTGAAGAGTGAACTGCTCCCACACTTTGGAGGTTTTAGGTTGTGAAGGTGTTACTGCACCGCTGATGTTGTGTTGTTTTAGTAACTTTACTGTTGACATCACTTTACTCTGTTAAGCATGAATGAATCGATGGCAACAAATTTAATAACCGATTTTCGTCGACTACGTCGATTAGTTGTTGCACACCTGATAACAAGCAATGCGCCGATCCAAAGCCAACCCATCTGAGAAGTTAAATGGAGCATGAAGAAATCCAACTTTGCGCAGATGCTTGTCAGACGCTATAAATATAATTCGATGTACGATCTCAGGCCGACATCATATTTGTGCTATCTGGGAAGTTGCATGACATGTGGTTTTACTGAATAATTAAGTATAATTTCTTAATATATCTACCTAAAGAAACCTCAATTCTTGACTGGCTACTCTCCGCTGTCTCAGAGGACGACACCTTTTGTGCTGTGTCTGCCACTGTAGCTGTCCTTCGCTCTTTGAAAGGGTAGGGGGCAGTGGTAGAGTGTACAGTTGGTGGCAATGCACAACCTCACCGCTAGATGCCACTAAATCTTACACACTTAACCTTTAAATGATTTCTTTAAAGAATTGTGACCAACATATTTTGTTTCCAAAAAGGGGATCAGAGAGTGTGTGCCTATTACAGGGGTATCACACTTCTCAGCCTCCCTGGTAAAGTCTACTCTAAGGTGCTGGAGAGGAGGGTTTGGCCGATAGTCGACCCTCGGATTGAAGAGGAATGCGGATTCCGTCCTGGTCATGGAACAACGGACCAGCTGTTCACTCCCGCGAGAAGAGGGGGGGGTCTGGTAGTCTACATGTGTTTTGCAGATCTGGAAAAGGCATAAGACAAGGTCCCTGGGGGGGACCTGTAAGTCCAAAGCGAGAGCTGTGTACGGATTCTTAGTAGTAAGTCGGACTCTTTCCAGGTGGGGGTTGGTCTCCACCAGGACTCTGTTTTGTCACCAATCCTGTTAGTGATATTCTTGGACAGGATATTGAGGCATAGTCGGGGTGGGGAGGTGTTGCAGTTCAGTGGGCTGGGGATCTCCTCGCTGCTTTTTGCAGATGATATGATCCTGATCAGTCCGTGACCTTCAGCACTCACTGGATCGGTTCGCAGCCAAGTGTAAAGAGCTGGGATGCGGATTAGCACATCTAAATCTGAGTCCATGGTTCTCAGCAGGAAACTAATGGAGTGCTCACTCCAGGTAGGTAATGAATGCATACCCCATTGAGGGAGTTCAAGTACCTTGGGATCTTGTTTGCAAGTGAGGGGACAATGAAGCGTGAGATTGACAGAGCAGGGGGCACTGTATTTTATTCTCACTGCACCATTGTGGCAAAAGATAGCTTAGCCAGTAGGCAAAGCTCTTGATCTACCAGTAAATTTTTGTTCCTACCCTTCACCTATGGTTATAAAGGCTGAGTCCTGACTGAAAGAAGTAGATCGCTGGTACAAGCGGCCGAAAAGAGTTTTTGCACGAGGATGGTTGATGTCCCTCTTAGAGGTAGGGTGAGAAGCCAAGTTATGCGTGAGGAACCGAGTAGGAGTAGAGCCGCTGCTCCTTTGCATCTTATACCACTGGGCGCCATCCTAAGGAGGTGTTACAGGCACTTCCAGTTGTGTGGAAGCCTCGGGGAAGACCCAGGACTAGGTTGAGAGATTAAATCTCCACACTGGCCTGGGAACGCCTCGGGATCCCCTGGTCAGAGCTGGTTAATGTGGCTTGGGAAAGGAAGGTTTGGAGTCCCCTGCTGCTGCTGCCCCCTTCAACCTGACCCCATATCATATATGCAGTTGAAAATGTATGGATGGATAGATGGATATTTTGTGATATATTGTGAGCAAAACATTTTGCAATTTAAAAAAAACTTTGTTAGTGCACTCTGGTCCACAAACTATGTAATGGAGACACCTGTCGAATTCACGCTCCAAAAAAGTAAATAAGGTGCAGCATATCATCTATCTATCTATCTATCTCTGCTGTTATCTAGTTAGCTCAATTAGCCAGACAGCTAACTTAGCAGTCCTATTAGAAGACCTCGTCCAGAATGGGCAACGGACCTGTTCTCAGCAGCCTCCCAGTGAAAACAGCTGGACCGTGGTCGAACACGGCCACCAAGACCGACGGAGGACAGGATGACCACATACAGTGGGGAGAACAAGTATTTGATACACTGCTGATTTTGCAGGTTTTCCTACTTACAAAGCATGTAGAGGTCTGTCATTTTTATCATAGGTACACTTCAACTGTGAGAGACGGAATCTAAAACAAAAATCCAGATAATCACATTGTATGATTTTTAAATAATTAATTTGCATTTTATTGCATGACATAAGTATTTGATACATCAGAAAAGCAGAACTTAATATTTGGTACAGAAACCTTTGTTTGCAATTACAGAGATCATACGTTTCCTGTAGGTAGAGCGGGTTGCCCGTTAATCGGAAGGTTGATGGTTCAGTCCCCGGCTTCTCCAGGCTGTGTGTTCTTGGACCAAGATACTGAACCCCGAATTGCCTCTGGTGGCTGTTCCCCCAGTGTATGAATGTGTGTGAATGTTAGTTTCCGTTTGAGCACTTAGGCTCAGTGTATAAATGTGAGTGAATGGTGAATGCAGATGTAGTGTAAAAACACTTTGAGTGGTCGAAAAGACTAGAAAGGCGCTATACAAGTACGGAGCATTTACATTTAGTTCTTGACCAGGTTTACACACACTGCAGCAGGGATTTTGGCCGACTCCTCCATATAGACCTTCTCCAGATCCTTCAGGTTTTGGGGCTATCACTGGGCAATACGGACTTTCAGCTCACTCCAAAGATTTTCTGTTGGGTTCAGGTCTGGAGACTGGCTAGGTCACTCCAGGACCCTGAGATGCTTCTTACGGAGCCACTCCTTAGTTGCCCTGGCTGTGTGTTTCAGGTCGTTGTCATGCTGGAAGACCCAGCCACGACCCATCTTCAGTGCTCTTACTGAGGGAAGGAGGTTGTTGGCCAAGATCTTGCGATACATGTACAGTAACTAAAAAGATGCTGAATGATGCTAAATAAATAAATGCAAATGATTACAAATATCCATGCATTCTGAATTCTACAGAACCTTTTATTTGAAAGAAAGGTATGATAAGTGGGTCAGCAGTTGCTGCCATTTGTGGTTTTGTTTCTTGTCTCACATTAATTATATATTTCCAAATCATTAAATCGTTTACATTTTCTTTATAGTGGGGAAATCAAATACTCAGCCGCAGCTAATTATTATTTACATTAACTGCCAAGTATGTTTTTTATTAATTAATTGTTCTTCAAAATGTGTTTTTTTAAAAATATTTAGTTTGCAGGGATTGTGTTGCTGTGTCTAATCTCTTATTTTAAATGCTTGTGTTTTCTTCTGTCAGAGGTCCTTGGGAAGCTTCTGGCAGCTTTTGACTCCAGCCTGTGTGCGCTATTTTCAAGGTTTCTCCCTAAAGAGTGTTGGATGGGTTTGACCTGCAACAGTCACTGGGGAACAACATTCTGCCTCCTGCTTGACCTGCTGGAGGTGCTGACTGCATCCAGTCTGAAATGTGGACCAGGTGTCTGTCTGAAGAGTCAGAGAATAACCCACATTCACTCTTCAGCACTCCTGGCAATAATCAGTTGCTCCTCAGAGTATTTTGTCAAAAAGCGAGCGCTGCTGCTTTTAAAGAGAGCCATTCTTCAGAAGGCTGGGGAGGACTGGGCTTTAGGAGAAGCGCTATTCCATGGGCTGAAACATGAACACCTCAACTCTGATATGATCATGCTGGCTCAGAGTGTGGTCACAGCAGTGGCTGCTGATTGGTTACAGAGTGTTCAAGTGGAGTCTGCCTCTTTCTTTGGGGGGACCAGACACACCAGAGGAGATGAAGGTCAGAAACCAGACTGTGTGATGTTGAGAGCTGTCAGCGTGCTTCTTCTCAAGTCCATGGAACTTCACATCCCAACGGCTGCTGTAACAGGTGAGACTCCATGATGAAAGGGCACGTCATAAATTTATGTTGAGTTTGAGTTGTTGAGTTTAAAGTCAGAATTATGTGAATAAAGTCAGAATTCTGAATTTAAAGTCAGAACTCAAATAAATTTTTGGCCCTAATCCTCTTCCGTAATACAGTACTGTATGTATTGTGTTTAATTCTGGATTGATGTCACATGAGAACAGTTTGATGGAGTTGATGCTTAAAAACAATGCTTTGAAGGGAACTTTAATTCAAGTAAAGTGTCAAGATGTTTTGGTTAAAGCAGCGTTAGGACATTTTTTGGCCACTTGGGGGAAACGCAACATCCTGCAAACACAACACTCACATATATGAAGTTGATATGTGAAATGTGTTGGCATTAGCACAGTTATCTGTTTATACACAGAGCAAAATCCAGCAGACACAAGCCATATTAGCATTCATTTATTGTGTTTGTGTCTATGTTATCAATGTCAGTCCAATATTCACTCTTCTTTTATCTCTGGATGGGTCTCCACCAAGGTTATAATTGTTAACAAAGACAAACAAAATAACGAAAACTAGATATGGAAAAACATTGTCGTAAACTGAAAATGAGGCTTTAAAAAAACGATAACTACCAAAAAGTGAATTGTAGGTTTGCAAAACCAACAATACAGTTGTGGCGACTGCTGTTACGAGGAGATACCCATGTATCGTTGGGGGAGGCTAACTTAGCTAGGGAGACCCAGGTAGGGAACATGTTTTCTATTATCTTTTCTAATTACATGTGTACAAAATAATATGAATGCAACAACTGTATGGAGTTATATTTTGTTTAGTTTGTGTTGCAGGTAACTTAGTGAGTCACTGTCTCTGGGGTTTTCTTTTCCTTGTTTTGTTCCATTCTGATGGTCTGGCTGAAGATCTTGCGTGTGGGATAAACTTGCTTAATAAAAGTTCATATTTTAATATAACTGCTTTCCAGTCATATTTGTTTTCAGGGGTGCTAGGGACCTGTAGTTTGTGGCTCCAAGGGGGGCCTACACTATCTTCCAATTTCTTAGCCGTCCATCAATTGTATTTCATCTCCATTTATTGTATTTCACTTATTTAACCATGAATGATAGAGCTACTGACTGATGTAATGGATTTCTTGGGACCACTAGGTAGTAGGATTAGGGTAGTTTGTAGATTGCATATGCTTCATTTATTTGTAGTATTTATTTAGACAATGTGTTAGTACTTCAAATATTTGCTTAGTGTTTTGGCCTTAGGATCACAATGTTAGTCCAACATTGCCTAGCTAACACCAAGTTAGCTAACCTTTAAAATAAACAGTAAAACAACACGGCAACACTTATGGTGCTTTTAGACCAACTGCAAATTTCTCCTCGCGACGCTTTCCTCGCGTGAGTACGTTCTCTGCAAATGGTCACACACAACGTGAGAAGGCGATTTTAACGCGATAACGTGAATAAATACAACTCGCCATTACTACAGCTGTATGAACCCAAAGTAAACATTTTGCTGTGATTAAATAGCAAACGGATCAAACTGATGCTGAAATAACTACAACATGATGCAGATTTGTTAAACATATGAATTCATGCTTTGTCAGGTCTGTCAGCAAGACAGCAGGCCAACAACTTCTAAAATGTTTGTTTTCTGAATGGAGTTTGGATCGATCAGGGCTATTCTACGGTGCCGGGTTCGCGGCTCTACGTGTCTTTGCATTGACTTTGTATGTAAACTCACCACCCCGAACGCTTGTTTCGCTTTTGGTCTAAAAGCAACAATACAGCTTCAGAGTTTGAATTTGGGTCACATACAGCCCATGGCGATCCATCCGTGAACAATTACAGAGCTTGTTACGGTTGTGGAACTTTTGAAGCACTCATTTATTAATTTAACATGCCCTGAAGTGTACAGTGTGAACATTGCGGTTGTTGCCGTTTTAGTGAAAAAACTAAACTGGACTGAACTAAACTGAACTGAGCTTGGCATCCTGCAGCGACAAAGACTAAAACTAACACTGAATCTAATAAAAACTAAAATAAAACTAAGCATTTTCAAAAATAAAAACTAAACAAAACAACTAATTAAAACTAAAACAAAATTTAAAAAACTAATCCAAAACTATAATAACCTTGGTCTCCATCACCTCCTGAGAAATATAACTGGCTCTTAGCTGCCAAATGCTCCACTGTGTTCACCAGCTAATCTCTGTCTGTCAGAGTACACTGGCCTTTTCATTGAAAACCATTGCTTGCCGCTGCTGCTGCTGCTGCTGCTGCCAATAAGGTTTATGAGAGTTATGAGAGTTTGGTTGTAAAACCAGAACAGTAAGTTGAAACAAGGGCATCACTTTGTGTTAAAAAGTGATGGGGAAATAAGCACTCAGATAAAAAACATTTTAGGAAACGATTTTAGGAAATATTGCAGAACAGCGCATCAGAAGGGCATAGCGTAGGCTACTACAGAGTCGACAATACAAAAATACTCAGCATACTAGCATAAAACGCATATCACTGCTCGAAAATGACAAAATAGGAACATCGTAAGGAATAATGTTAACAATGTTCAAAACCACCTTACCTTAAGTTAAACTGCCTTGTTGTTTGGATTTTTAACATTAGAGAAACAAGATGTCACATACCCGACTCAACAGCTGTTTGTCATGTTCACACGGAGACAAGAAGGACAAGAAGAAACTGTCAAGTATTTGTTAAATTTACTTGTTGGGTGCATGCACGTTTTTTGGTAATTTTAGTATCAGTAGTTTTGGGTTTTTTTTAGCTAAAGTTACTTTTTTTGGACAATGCACATTTGTTTCTTCTGTATTTACATTGCATTGCATGTTTTCTTAATGTGCAAATAAACATTTCTCAAAGCAAGCAATTTTCAGAATATATTTAACACATTCAGCTGGTGACAAAATCTTCAAAAAGTGGTGGGGACATGTCCCCAGTGTAAATGACACCTATGAGTTAAAAGATACCAAAACTCCCAGTGCAGCTGAGGGGAAGTACACAGTCGCTGATCTGCTGGGTCATTGGTGTGACCAATATATTACACATTACCCATACTGACCTATTGTCAAAATAACAATACACCTTAAGCAAGTGTAAAACCTATTTTGTGATATTGTTTCCATCTAGTTTTTCTAATTAGTGTAATTTACCTGAAAATTCTTGGATGGAAACGTGGCTTTGTGTTTTGCTGTTGCATATTTAAGCAATACGGATCTTTACGAAGGAATTTGACATCATACCAGTTGTATACGCTCTATATATCTCTACTATGACAATCAGATTGCTTGATTTGAACTACCCATTTAATAATAACTTATTACAACGCAGATTTAGAACGAGCTATTTAAAATAAATCTGGTTGCAGCAGAGTGAACGTTTCTACGCAAACTATTACAATATTTGCATCATTTCGATAAGCAGCTATTTACAACGTGGACATACAGGTGAAACTCGAAAAATTAGCATATCGTGCAAAAGTTCATTTATTTCAGTAATTCAACTTAAAAGTTGAAACTAATATATTATATAGACTCATTATATGCAAAGTGAGATATTTCAAGCCTTTATTTGATATAATTTCCATGATTATGGCTTACAGCTTATGAAAACCCCAAATTCAAAATCTCAGAAAATTAGAATATTGTGAAAAGGTTTAGTATTGTAGGCTCAAAGTGTCACACTCTAATCAGCTAATTAATCCAAAACACCTGCAAAGGGTTCCTGAGCCTTTAATTGGTCTCTCAGTCTGGTTCAGTGGAAGAAGACTGCTGACCTGACAGTTGTGTGACAGTTGGATGTTGTCAAAGTGCTGTATCAAGGCACATTAATAGAAAGTTAAGTGGAAGGGAAAAGTGTGGAAGAAAAAGGTGCACAAGCAGCAGGGATGACCGTAGCCTAGGTAGCATCCATGCCACGCCGCATTGAGGCAGTAATTCATGCTAAAGGGGCCCAAACCAAGTACTGAGTACATATGCATGATTATACTTGTCAGAGGGCTGAGATTTCTGTATTTAAAATCCTTTTTTATTGATTTCATGTAATATTCTAATTTTCTGAGATTTTGAATTTGGGGTTTTCATAAGCTGTACGCAATAATCATAGAAATTATATCAAATAAAGGCTTGAAATACCTCACTTTGCTTGTAATGAGTCTATATAATATATTAGTTTCACCTTTTCAGTTGAATTACTGAAATAAATGAAATTTTGCACAATATGCTAATTTTTCGAGTTTCACCTGTAGGTGTAATGTAGCCAAACACCACAACAGCAGCAATGTGTGGCATAAAATAATCAGAAAAACACAATAAATGGTTAATTGCAAGTATTTGCATGGCAATTCATCTTCAAGGAAAATGTTGTGATGAACTTAAAATATGATGAAATGCCAGTGCTGTTAACTGGTTTCTGGGGCTGCCCCCAAATAGTTCTGTCCTATTTTGATGATAGTGCAGGATGTGCATTTTTCAAAACTACAAATGACACACTGCAGCAACAACACGTCACCACCAGCATCCCGGCAGGAATTCTGCCACCATTATAGCATTTCCACAGCACTCGTCTCACAATTGATTAAGTTGCTGTGCTGATTCCCTCTCTGTGATTCCCTACAATGTGTCCTCTTACAGCAGGAGTGAAAAGTGCCAAAGAGGTTAATGAGTATCTTCAGAGTCTGTGGGGCTTCCTGAGGCGGTACAGTGTCCAGCTAATGGAGGTCACTCATCTCTGCTGCTGGGTCAGCCTGCTGTTTGGAGAACAGGACGACGACATGTTGGAGGCAGCCAAAGCTTTGCTTTCCATATTCCTCAATCACAGGTACAACAGATACCCAGATGGTACTATATGTGTAATTTGTTTTATCAACATGACATGCAAACTAACTAACTAATGTATTTGTCATTACAGTGGAAAATCCTCTGAAATAGCATTTACACATACAATACAACTTTCCAATGTAACCCTGAAAAATTAAATCTGATCAAAATTTCTTAAGGAGGCATGAGGTTTCACATTACCACCTTCAATTCTTTTTCACAAACAGCTAAATAATTTTACAATTTAAACAAGTAAACCCATTCAGTTGAGGTGTTATTGTGTGTTTCACAATATTCTGTATGCTATATATCAGAACAGCAGTCTGTATTTAATTCAATTAAATTTTATTTATATAGCGCCAGTTCATAACAAAAATCATCCCATCACTTTTCTTATAAAGCAGGTCTAGACTGTAATCTTTGTAATTTTATTTACAGAGACCCAACAGTTCCCACCATGAGCAAGCACTTGGTCACACAGGCATAGTGCTTAAATCACTATGTTTAGGAGTTGAAGTGGGATCAATAAAAAAAGACACTGTTGCATACTATAAGGCTGTCTGCACATGATTTACTCACTGCGAGGTATACACCGTATACACCGTAGTTGGTCATTGGCTGAGAAGTAGTTCTGGGGAGATAAATATTTGTGCAAGTTTCTACAAACATACCAGAACAACTGAGACGAGGGAAAGATGCAAGACATGTTAATGTGTTAATGGAGAATTAGCTAACAAGAGGTACAAATTCAGAGAACCAGCATAAACGTAGCCACTTTCTGTTGCCAGCTGGTGGCGCTGTGACTACTGGTGAATTTTGGCTTGTAGATGTGTTCAGAGCGGGACTCTTATTAAATGTGTAAAATTTGGTACAGATCTGAGATCTAGATCTGATCTCAGTGAAGTTGCAACAACTTCCTGTTTCATGGCGAAGCGTGTAACTTTGCCGCCACGCCGTTAACCGAAAATTGACAAGTTTTACAACATGGCCTCATCAATGAGTTAAGGGTTTCCTGGGACAGTTTTGAAGTTCATATGTCCAACCTGCCTGGAGTAGTACATTACAGCGTAAAATGTGTCATTTTCTGTTGCCAGCAGGTGCTATGGCTTTGAGTGAATATTAGCATATGGACGTGTTCAGGTCGGGACTCTTATAATGTATTCCAAATTTGGGCAGGTCGGGACTCTTATAATGTATTCCAAATTTGTGCATGCCGTTCCACGAGAATTCACAACTTTTAACTTTTAATCGTCATCAACAACAACTTCCTGTGTCATGACGAAGCATTGAACTTTGACGCCACGCCAAGGACATCCGAAAACTCACAAGATTCACAACATAGCATCATCAGTGTCTTATACTGCATTCAGACCAAACTCGAATTTTCTCCCTACGTGAGAACCATCGCTGCAAGTGTTTACACACAACATGAGAGGGCGATTTTTAACGCGATAACGTGAATAAACACAACTTGCCATTACTACAGCTGTATGAACTCATAGTAAACATTTTGCTGTGATTAAATAGCAATAAACGGATCAAACTGATGCTGAAATAACTACAATATGATGCAGTTTTGTTAAACATATGAAATCATATTTTGTCAGGTCTGTCAGCAAGACAGCAGGACAACAATTTCTAAAATGTTTGTTTTCTGAATGGCAGTAGTACATAACAGCGTAAAACTATGGATGTATTCAGGGCGGGACTCTCATCCTACATGTACGGTGTGGTGCAGATATGAGCATGCACACTGAAGTTATAACAACTTCACGTTTCATGGCGAATCATCAATTTTGGACGCCACACACTGGACACGCCCATTGACGAAAACTCATAGATAGCACAACTTTTCATCGTCAGTGCCTTTAGAAGGCACAGCAGAAATTTGAAGTCGGTCGGACTAAATCCCTAGGAGGAGTTTGTTAAAGTACGGAGTGTGTAAATCATCCAAAAATGACCATTAAATCCAAAATGGCCAACTTCCTGTTTGGTTTAGGCAACGGCTCCAAGAGGCTTTTTTGTACGTCTGGACATTATACACGTACCCCAGAAATTTCGTACACGTAGGTGAAACTTTCTCTGGGGGCTAATCTGTAAGGGGCGCTAGTGACTTGCTTACTTTGCAGAAAAAAGAAAGAAAGAAAGAATAATGATAAATAAATAATCCCTTCAGTTTCAATAGGGACCTCGCACGGTTCGTGTTCGGGCCAGAAATTCGACCAGAGCCATTTGACATAGCAAGCACAACAATTTGGAATATCCTGAAAAAGAAAGAAACTACTGGTGTACTGAGCAACAGACGTCCAACAGGTCGGCCAAGGAAAACTACAGTAGCTGTGAAGAAAACCCCCAAAACATCAGTATGTTAGTTTCAGCTGTTTTCTCGCTCATACGTGGCCGTTAAATAAACAGAACATGTAAAACGGCCGAACATTAGATGATACACGGTGTAACATTACGTTACCATGACAGCAGCTGGGCAAAAATAAATTTTAACCAGGGGCGGACTGGCCAATCAGGAGAACTGTGCCAAATCCCGGTGGCCTGCCATTGATAATAGTACACTGGCATAGTAGCCACTGCCCATCATCCACCCAAGCCCAATACTGACTTTATAAATGAATTTGCTGCTTTTCTCACATTTACAGCGTGCAAGCCTCGAAAGTCCAGCTGCATTCTAACATTAACTTGGCTCTCCTTATTTGCTAGGCCCCTTGCATGCTGGCTAATAAAATTTTTAAGCTGGGTCTCCGACATTGACAGCGTTGTGTTGGACAGATTTGTGCAGCGGTGTTCCATGAGTGAGAGACAACGAGCGAGGTACGGGTGAGTGGGAGAGAGAGGGGACGAGCGGGAGGAAGTGCTGCGTGAATGCGCTACGGCGCTCTGCAGTCAAATACGATTTTAAGTAGGCTTAGTAAAAAAAAAAAATTATCGAAAATCAATCTGTGGCGGTTAGCGTTTATATTGTGGCGGGCCGCCACAAATAAATTAACTTATGGGAAACGCTGCTGTCCAAAATAAAACTGCCACATGTCATTTCATTGAGAAATATTAAGGACATTAATTTAAACACTCTGTCTAGTGAAATTGGCTGCCTCCCCAGTATAAACTGTTTTTCCAAACCTGATGAACTGATTTCTCACTACAACGATGACCTACAAAACATTTTAAATTCTCTGGCTCCTTTAAAAAAAACATACTTTCTTTCACCCATTCTGCCCCATGGTTTACATCAGAAACGTTCCCACACTGGTCACCTCCTGCATTGATTATTGTAATTCTGTTCTCATTGGTCTTCCTCTCAAATCCATACATAAACTTAAACTGGTTCAGAACTCTGCTGCCGTATCATCACCAGAACCCCTTCTATTAATCATATTACTCCCGTGCTTCAGCAGCTTCATTGGCTCCCAGTTAAATACCGCATTGATTTCGAGATTCTGCTCCTCACCTTCAAGGGCATTCATTACCTCTGTCCTCTGTACCTCACTGACCACCTTCATATAACACACCCACCCTTACCCTTAGGTCTTCTTCTTTTTACCTCACTGTACCTCCTGCTCGTGTGACCACCATGGGGTTCAGAGCCTTCAGCCGCTCTGCCCCTTGTCTCTAAAACTCTCTTCCACCAGACATCCGAAACATTGACTCGCTTTCCATTTTTAAACCCTGCCTGAAAACACATGTTAAACTGTCATATCCCACGTGATCACTCTTTCTCAATCTTTGTTTCCTATCGATTATTGCTGTACTGTAAATAAAATGTAGTATTATTATTATTATTATTATTATTCATAATATTATCCCACCAGAATATTCAGTATGTCAGTATTTGGGGTCATGTTCTCAGTCTCAAAAAAACTAACCATGTCACAGACATGCTTCAGTAACAACATATATTACTGGGACACTACAGAAAACTGCATAAACATTTAATATCCATGTATTCACAACAGCTACACTGCAAAAGGACCCTGAACTATCAGTGAGAACAAGAGCTGATAGATTTGATTTGATTATCCTGTTGTTGTTGTTGTCGGTGTAAATTATGGACTGTATATTTTTTTTTAAATTTATAAATGGTGGTGACATGTTTTCAAAATGAGCTAACTAACTGCTTGTCTGTCTTTGCAGACTGTGTTCTGGGTTGGGTAACCTCACTGTGTTGGAGGCAGCCTGTACCTTTGGCTGTAACCCTCACTGCCACTTCCTGCTTCTACTTCAGAGCATCTCATTTGACCACAGCATCCTTCTTGACTTCCTCATCTCCACTGAGGCCTGCTTTCTGGAGTACTTTGTACGGTACCTCAAGTACCTCAGAGCTGACTGGCAAGGCTTCACTGCAGCATGTGAAAGAATCAGTGTGTCAGACTGTAATCTTTCACTGCAGCAGTCACTCTCTACCTCATGTGGTGGTGATATGTTTACACTTGCATATAAAGGTGAGCCAGAACGAGTGGAATTCAGCTCCCTTGTCCAGTCCACAAATGTTATTTCACCAGCAAAAATGATCAGTTTGGGTGCTGGGCTTCGCCTTGTAGACTACGATAGTTCTGACGAGTCTGATCAAGACAACATGGAGGTTTCTCAGGATAAACCAGAGGTGGATATATCTGAGAAAAGTAGATTTAGTGCTCCGGATGTAAAACAGGAGATTAGTGGATCACCAGTACCCATCAGACAGAAACAATATATGTCATCTGACTCAAATGAATTACTGAGCAAATCTGTTTCCACACTGGAAAGAAGACAAGAAACATCATCATTGCCATTGTTACAGAGTGAGCAAACATCAAGTCCAAACATGGCACCTCTGTCAGGACAGGTGACCTGTGAAACATTAGCTAGAGCAGTCCGCTGTCTGTCTCAGCTCAGAGAGGTGGTGACGAGGATGCAGACAAAGAAACTCTTCCCATACAATCCTTCTTCCCTCTTAAAACTTTTAGCACAAGTAGAGAACTGTTCTCAGCAGTCAGATCTGTCACATTTCAATAAATGATTAAAATAATGTACTGTACATGTGTTTTATTGTTTTGTGAGGAGATGTGGAAAATAAATCTAAATATTTCAGGTTTCAATAAGTCTGTGTCTATTTGTACTCGTATGTGTTTTAGTCAGGGTTTCATCCTGCTATGCTGGGACAGGCAAGTGGGGGGTGAAGACAAGAAATGGACATGAAACTAGAAATTTGTGGAAGAAAACGGGTGAATGCTGACAGCTGTTTTTAAAGCTTTGCAGGAAATGCAGAAATGTGAGATGAATAGCCTGAAAAATCGGAAAGCTCAACTGCATTGACTGTTGAAAATCTATTCAATTCAATTCAGCACCAAATCACAACAACAGTTAAGAGAGTGCTGTCTCTGTGCTATTATAAACTCTAAATCCTGACTGAAAATCCTCAAACTATTGCTATGTAGAAAGTCACACAGCTGTTTAGCAACTGCTTTCTCAAGGATCTTAGAGAGAAATAGAAGGTTAGATATAGGTCTATAGTTATAGTATAGCTAAAACATCTGGATCAAAGTTGGGTTTCAAAATAATAGATTAAATTTCACCAGCTACAGTAAGGACTTAGTCTTGACTATGGTGTGCATGCTCTAACAGGTAAGCTAGCCGGTGCCCCAGCTACCAAATTTGTAATTTTGAATATTTAATAAAAAACAATCAGACCGTTCTCATCTCAGGCCGTCCAATACCAACGCTTTCAGACAAAGTGACAAAACGTAGTTATTTGATGTTCTGGGGCGTCTTGTACAGACAGGAAGTGCTAGCTAGCTAGCTACGTTTGTTTTAAAGGTACCAGTACCCAGTCAGTACACACATCCTAAACCACAGAGAGATGGAGCTGACTGTAAACCCACTTAAAGCCATCTGATGTCAGTCTTAAACAGAATCATTAATGTTAATGGAAGTTAGTGGACATTACATGATCATAAGTCACAGATTTTAATCTAAAAGGGAAACATTTATTGAAAATATTTGTGTGTTTGCCACAAAAAATGTGTATTTTCTTTTTCTTTTTTTTGTATTACAGTAAAAACTAAAGATAAAAGGGAAGTTAAGTTGTACCTGAAATTAAAACAAAGAAAGAAGATGAAGTGACCGTTAAAGTGGAAGTGCTGACACTGGGGTGAAGTTGCAGTTTAAGTGTAATTAATGAATAAAGTTGATTAGTGAGTGTTAAGTTAAAGATGAAGTCAGTTGAAATGTTGAAAGTAGTTTAAGAATGAGTAATTCAGGAAATGAAATAAGCTGAGGTGAAGGGGGGGGGGAAGAGTTGCCTGTTCAACTCTGAAAGTGTCAGAGCTGAAAGCAGTTAAAGTATCACATAAAGTGCTAAAGGAGAAATATCAGATAAAGTGTATGAGCTGAAAGCAGTTCAATTGTCAGTTGAACTGGTTTAAGGATCTGACGGGTCAGTTGAATTGTAAGAACAGAAAAAAGTTTTTTCTACTTTCACCAGTGCTAATATCCAGTACTGTATGGTAACATTGATTTCTTGTAAAAGCCACAATTGAAATTTTTTAAGAGTCAACATTATTTCCCAGTTGCCTTTTCTGTACCTGGAAGGCGTGTTTTGTGGGAGAACCTGCTTTTGTACTTTATCAGGAACACAGTACAAACAAGGTTATTAGATCCCTTGAGGGCAGGGAGAAAAAAAACGTGTGTGTGTGTGTTCAATCTGCTAACCTATCTCTACTTCCTGGAGGGGAGGGGGAAAAAACCTTCTCAGGTAATTGTGGCTGGACTGGGTGTGACCATAAAGAATGACAAACAAAAAGAGAGTGGCTGGCTGCTTGTCATAGCAGGGAAATAGTGGATTTTACCACCCATGTTCATCTCCAACAGCAAACACAGCAGTCAGCAGGGGAAACAGGAGCTCTTGCCTTCTCTAGCTGGTAGCACTTACAGTGGAAAGGTAAGCCTGTGCTTTCCTGTGACCTTGAAAAGCATTCTGCTTGTTTATTTAGCTTGAATGTGAGTGATACCTCTTTCTTTTTATTTCTATTCTGGTGTAAATATATCTCCTGCAGCTACAGAAGGGCGGGGGGCTCTTGGATCCAAGGAGATTCTACAGTTAGTGAAGTTTGCTCTCAGGCTCTGCAAGCTTTGTCATGGCCGAATTAAGATGAATGAGGTCCTTGTTCTCAGAAAGATCAACACAAAGATCCAGTGAACTCTGAGTTATATAGGCTGCCCACTTAAATTTAAAAGATTTGGATTAAGATTAGTTGTGGGGGAGTTTAAGATGTTTGTTTTTGGTCTCAGTTTGTTTCAAGGGCCTGTCTTGCTGGGTAACCCTTGTAGAGATCACAGCTATGTAAAGGTACAATGACGAGTACTTTGACTGGAGACAAATATCATTTAAAGTCACTTCACAAACAACAGCTAATGGACATGGCATGAACTGTATTTTAACTGTGTATTTGTAAAGCCCGAGGTTTTGACTAAGTAAGGCTTTCAGCTTTTGTCTTTAACTTCAGAGGAAGATGTTATACTTTGTTTCGCAGCTCCTCTAAAGTTAGGTCAGTATATTCAGGTAATAAACCATATACAGTGTATGTTTATCCTTCCCCCACTTATACCCTACCACACCCCCATTGATTGGACTGATTCATTGGACTGGAAATTTAAATGTACTCCTGTGCTACAAACATGGCAGACTTGCGAATGATGGCATATTCTCAGTCCTAGTACTCCTGGACACCACTGATCACAACATCATGTAAGACAGACTGAGGCACTGGATGGGGATCTTTGGTACTGCCTTAGAATGGTTTTCATCCTACCTGTCTAATAGGAGGTTCTGTGTCTCTGTGATTAGCTATGGTGTGCCTCAGGGGTCGGTCTTAGGACCCATTTGATGTGAGTTCACTTATGCGGCATTCAGACAAACCGTTTTCCTCGCGTGAGTACATTTGCTGTTCACACACAACGCGAGAAGGCGATTTTAACGCGATAACGTGAATAAACACAACTTGCCATTACTACAGCTGTATGAACCCAAAGTAAACATTTTGCTGTGATCAAATAGCAATAAACAGATTAAACTGATGCCGAAATAACTACAACATGATGCAGATTTGTTAAACATATGAATTCATGCTTTGTCAGGTCTGTCAGAAAGACAGCAGGACAACAACTTCTAAAATGTTTGTTTTCTGAATGGAGTTTGGATCGATCAGGGCTATGCTATGCTAACTTGGTCACAGTAAAGTACAATGATATCTGCAATAAAGTTACAGACACATATTTTCTGAACTCACCAGGTAATTGAACCTCCTCGCTTTCTTTTCTCCAAGTAATGTCCAGTTTTGTCCGGTTTGTATATAAATATGAAGTCGTAGTCCGAGAGAGCTAACGACGCTAACAACAACACGGGAACTGGATGTGCATGGAAGCTAGCTGCTGAGAAGCTCCAGTGAAGATAAATCAACGTTGTAATCCCAAAAACTTAAGTAAAAAGCTAATTTAATAAAAGCAGTTTACTCCGAGCTCCTCCTGCGGCGTTAGAGCATAATCCAGTCCGACTACGGGTGTTTATTTGTCCAAAGGTTGCAGTGCAGCTCCCCACTCCTCTCCCTCAAGTTTAGCAGCTCTCAGCCGGCCAGCAGATTTTCAATCTCCCGCTCTGCCCGGCCCTCTCCACACATTGCTCTGAAGCCGTCAGTGACGTACGGACAATCTCAACACTGATAGGCTATCGCGACTCAGCGTCATGCGACTTTCTCGCTTGAGTTGAAAATATTCAACTTGAAAAGTTGAGTTTGAAAAAAATTAATCGCATATTAAATCGTAATATTGGTAATATAAATAACGCAATTAGATTATTTTCCAAAATCATTCAGCCCTATTTTAAAGTCTATTCTAAAGCATATTGGGAGCCAGTCTAATGAAGCAAAAACAGGGGTGACGTGATCATATTTCTTTGTTCTGGTCGAAAGCCTGGCAGCTGAGTTCTGGACAGTCAATCACTAGATTATTGGGTCAAGCAAGGAAAAAGGCTGTTGCAGTAATCCAGGCGTGATGAGATGAAGGTCTCAGTGTCCTTAAATGTTAACATTGACCGTATTTTTGATATATTTTAAAGATGGTAAAAACACGATTGCCAGTGTCCAGCTGTGGACTGTAGCTCAGGGGGTGTGGAAACAAGAACAAATTGAGCAAGAGACTTTAATTATAATTTCAGTCTTTATACTAATGCTATAATTTAAAGTTTTTCTTTAAATCATGGGCTTCTGTCAACTACAATATCCACATATGCGTGGTACAAGTATCTGAATGTGTAGAACAGACCACACAGAGAGATGCTGTGGCTACAATCATTACAGACTGTACCATGAGGGGGGCGTGGCATGAGCGAGGGGCGTGGACGCTTTGCAACAGGCCTGATGTGATCTGAGTCAGCAAAGAAAGTCATAATTATGTGATAATGTTTCATAATTACTATTCTGGGTTTTTGAATGTGGCATTAGAACACTGATTTCCTCAGTTAGTGACAGTTCATGTCCCAGGTCAGTAAAATGTATCTGAGTCACAGTATTCTGAATATGACCGCTAATGCATGATTATGATCTAAGACAAGATTTTCACTTACTACATCATAATTATGAGATACTTCCTACTTATGATTTACTTGATTTACTATTTAAGAAGAAGTCAGTTTCAATTCAGCACACAATGCAAAACCTTCAGTGTCGCTCTGCTGCTTGTATCACTCCGCTAAGCCCCTCCCACCAAACCCACATGCAGGAGCCAGTTGCCCTGCAAAACCCAATCCTGGGTAGGGCTCGCTCTCCACTGCGAGAGTCTCGCCAAGAACCCAGTCCCTCTCGCATCGACTTATCTTCTCAAAGATGCTATTGTGATGCTTTGCAGCCCAGGGCAGGGCACCCCAGGCTTCAGAGGCAGCGGCACAAAATCTAGCAGGATGAGAGGCTAGTATACTCCTGCCCCCACTCAAAAGTTATTCCGTTTGTCACCATGCCTCTTTGCATTGAACACAATGAGCTAGTTTCAGCAAAGTTATTTTTAAATAACCTTCTGCAGCTTTAACTTAAAAACTCTTTCAAAAATTCTATTTACATTTGTAGTTAAGCAAATAACTATATAACAATACAGCCTTGTAACATAACCTTACTTAACAGTATGACATGTAATTCACTTCATATATCTAGATAAGGATAGGAAGTTTTTTTATAAATTATGTAATTTAATTTATATTTTAATATTTTTAGTCCAGGAAAAAGTCACTTTTAGAGGCACCGATGAAGATAAGAAATGTGAAGACTCTCGGTAAGACCAAAATCGGTTAGGTTTACTGAAGAGTAAACGCTCATACTGATAAAAACAAAGTGGGGGAACACAATTACACACAGACACAAGTGACTCAATGTAACCCATCCACCGTCATCTAAAACACAATGGTTTTCCTGAACCTAACAAAAACCATGAACTTTTCCTAAACCTTACAAAAACCACAATCTTTTTCTGAACCTAACCAAGTAGTTTCGGTGCCTAAAAATAAACATCTCATACGGATGCTGAAGGGTATCTTGTGCGTCAAATGCCGACACTTTGTCAGGTATTCTCAAAGCGTCAGTATTTGGCACCCTGAGATGAGAACGTGTTGGGATATTATGTTATTCTACTTTGTTAAGTTAATGTCTGTATGGGAGTAGCTGTTGCATTTTGTATTGTCATTGTGAGTTGTCTGTAAGTGAGAGGATGATTATTATTCTCTAAAAGTTTGCCTGCTAGGAAATCATAAAGCCTCCACCCCCACCCTTTCTCTGTATGAGAGATAGGGCTGTTGAAATAGGCCTGGAAGTGATCTTGAGAATAAGGGAGCGACGGGTCAATATTTGTTTAGGAAACAGACCTTCATGTACGCTACAGTAACTGGTCTGTGACTGCCGTCTGTTTGTTATAGACCTACCTCCATTGCTGTCGTAAAAAATAAATCATAGTTCAACTTTTGCCCTTTTGTCATTTCTCAGTGTGATGTAATCATTTATAATGAACTAAAAGATATTTCAGAATGGATGCTTAAATGTACAAGTCACACTGCTTGACAAAGAGAGACACAATGGGCCCAGTAGAGAAACATGGTTATATGAAATGGTCCAAACACTTTAGTGAAAGCTGTTCATCCAGGACATACACCAGAAGGGTCTCTTGCCTTCCACTCAGGTGTCAAACTCAGGGTGTTGCAGATACCTAGCACGGCCTTTAACAAGCCAGATATCTGATATTTGGAACTTTGGTTTAACTCACCCCTTGTTCTTGTAGATGCTTAAACTGCTCTTCATTTTGGTACATATATATACAGCTTTCCTGTGAGACCAGGCTGCAATTTTAAAAGGAATTTCCAGATGGAAGTGAACTTTGGGTGTTAAAAGGCTGATTCCTGGATATCAGTTCATCACCTCTTTGTTTTTGGACAATTTGTCATAGCCGTGTCCTTATAGCTAATAGCTACAGATAGTGCTGCATGTCTATTGATAGTTACTATCACCTTACTTACCCCTTCTTGTATTTGGTGGTTCTGCTAGGGTGGAGGGATGTTTGACATGCTGTATGACTGGTTCTGGTGGGACAGAATCTGGCTGCCTGTGAACCTGACATGGGCTGATCTGGAGGACAGGGAGGGCCGGGTCTATGCCAAAGCCTCGCATCTCTATGTCACTGTCCCCTATGCCTTTGCCTTATTACTCATCAGATACCTGTTTGAAAGGTAAGATTCATACTCACCTACATGATTATACCAACTAGTCCTCCAACCTAAACAACAACAAAGATTTTTTATCCATGCCTCCCAAAACATATGAGTGAACCCCGTTCACCTGAGTGAAAGTCTGGGGTGGACTTTCTCACTATTTATAATAAGTCACCAGACTTCATCCTTTGCTACCGTTGTACAGCCATTAGAGGTCGCAGCCACAAATCACATTAATATGGATCATAATAAGATGCTGCACAAACATTCTATAATATCATTTTTTGGGGGAGGACAGTTTTGGTTATACTGTAACTTGACAAATTACGACGCAAGTCCTGCTCATGGGATGATTGGCTAATCATTAGTCCTCCAGCGGTGCTCATTGGATCACTAGCCTTTTCAGCTGAGAAACCGATATTTCATGTCATGGTGCCATGACCAGAATCAGTCAACTCTGTGGAGTGGGATAATTCAAAGGTCTGGACCCAGGCAAGTACAATCAGCCAACCATGTCTCCAAAAATGTGTCAGGTACAACTGGATTTACAAATACGTTTTCTAGAAAACATTCCATGAGAATTACATTTTTAACAAGGAAAGATGAATGTATCTGGAAAATGTTCACTGTTTGTTCCCTGCAGTGTCTGCCCATGAAAACTAACGCATAAATCTAGTTTTAATGGATATTTTAAGGCAACTCAAAAGAGAGAGGGTGGTAATTATAAAGTCAACACTGACTTCAAGCATGAAGCGGGACATATTTAACCAAAACCAACATCTTCCCATAACCTTAAAGCGAGACTATAAACATTGCTAAACAGCAACCCTTTTTACCACAAGTTGCAATTACAGGACAATGGCAAATGCTAAACCTTAGTGTAATAGTCTCAGTAATATCAGTTACACATCAGCACTGTATAATAGCTAACATTAGCCACCATCAGCAACTGGTCATACCAGACCAAATAATGCTGTAGCAGCAAAACCAACTGTGCTGAATTGAGAATGGGACAAGTGACATAGTTTAACGTTGTCCTTGAGTTTGGTTATTCTGAATATAACATGTATGCTCAAATCTTCACCCTGACCTCTGATTTGTGTGTGGTATACAGATAATTAGATTGGGAAAAAAACATTGCCAGTGAACATAATCCATAAAGCAATTACATTTTCTCAGTTATTTGGGAAAGCAGAGTGTATAAACATATTTTAGGGGACAAGGTTGGTCCTGTGCAATGCAACAATCTTAGCAAAAGACTGGAGGCTGAAAGGAACAGCTATCCTAGTAAAAAAAACAACATGCCAATTGTACCTAAGTTAACTCTGTGTTTAGAGTTTGGAGCTCCCTCTGGCTAAATCTTTTAGCATATTTTCAAAATTTTAAATTTAACAATATCCATGTATAGAAATTAGGTGGAATAAAGTGAATTCAACAGCTCTTTCAGAAGTTTATTACAAAAAAAAATTTATGACAAGAACCACAGCAGAGATTTTTTACATGGACCAACAATGAGGTGGTACTGGGACGATAAAGCGATTTTGGTGATGCACAAAGTAAATACGGCGACATGCACAGTACAAAATATTTTAATAAAAATACCAAAACTAAAACTCTGTTTTCAGATCAGAAAGCCAGATGTGAGTGCCTGCGTCATTGTTTTTAAAGTCCTGTGTTACTACTAAACTAAAACGCTACCCTGGAGTTTTAAACAAAAACAGGGTCGGCAGTGTTTTCAAACTATTAGTTTTAGGTCTTCGGATTCGCCATTTTAGTTTGGACGGGAAGTGCAAACGTAGGAACAGTGTTGGCCAAGCTACTTGGAAAATGTAGTGAGCTAAGCTACTAGTTATTCTACATTAAATTAAGTTTCACTACACAAAAGCCACACCCAGCAAGCTAAGCTACAGCATCATGGCAAAAATAGTTTACTATATCTAAGCTACTTTGAATTTTTTTATATTTTGTAGTTAATAAAAATATACCCGCAAAACTTATATAATAGCCCGGGCTTTTATTTGCTAAAATCACTAAATTGACCCAGCCTATATTTGGGACAGGCATCCATATGGGACAGGCCTTTAATTCTTTTTGCACAAAACAAACAGAATAATACTTGTATAAAAATGATCAAATAATATCAAATACACGTAATTCATTTCATCTAGCGCTGACAGATGGCTTGTGCGCTTTTATTTTGAAGGCAGCAACTAACGAAAACAACAACAGGGTACAGGATGAGAGAAGTGCGGCAGAGGTTAGCAGACAGAGAGCGATGGACTTCACATGACAGGATTCACAACAAATTTTTATGAAAAGCTGTTTGATTCTTTGCGTCCGGGTGGACCCTTACAGACTAAAGGAATATAAATAATCATGGAATGACACATTCGGACTTAACAAGCGCTTCAAAGGTAATGCATTCAGCACTTTTTTACCTTTCCTCTCGTACCATGCAGGTTAAGAATTAGACTTTGGGGCTTGTTGTTTGCGTTAAATGAACTGAACAACTGAATTGTGGAGAATCTAACCAATCTAACGATGTGTAGCATGTTCATACGGACATATTGATAATACGTTTAAACATTAATATTTGTGTTCACGATCTAAGCAGCTTAGAAGCAGGTAAAGCAGGTGACCCCGCAGGGTTTAAGAGGTTCCCCTTCGAGGGAACTCGAACTGCGTCGGTGACGACACTATGGAAACGCCTCTGGGCGTGGCAGGGCTGAACTATGAATGAAACTACTCCAATCCTATTGGTGTTACTAGAACGGTAGTATGTGACGGCGTAACTGGAGGGGTATATAAGCACGCCGGTACATAGGACACATTAGCTTCTTTCTATTCAGCAGGCACTCTGGCTATGTTTGGAAGCTCCATCATCCTACCTGAAGTGGATGACAGTGTGTCTTTCCATGTGAGCGTTTCATCACGGCTGGTGATACCTATGGGATGTGCGTCTCATGCCTGGGTATGTCGCACACCCAGGCAGCTCTCGAGGGGACTGCCTGCAACCATTGCGAGGCCCTGCCCCTGACGGTGCTGAGGTCTCGAGCGGCTCTTTTTCTAGAGGATGGCCGGATGCGCTCCCCCCGTGGCACAGGACCCGCGGTCACTGAGGTGGCACAGGCCCCACGGTCGCTGAGGCGTTGCGGCGGCTCCGATCCTGGGGATCGCAACGCGAGATCGCCGAGGGTGCCAAAATGGCTGAGGCCTTTTTCCGGCCCTCGTCCGTGGAATCCTCGTCCCCGATCGGGAGCCCGTTTCTCGGTTTCTCCCACTCGAGGGGTGAGTCCGGAGAGGCTTGCACGATCTGGCTCTGAGGAGCTAGATGTGCTTAGCATGGAGAATGACTTTGGGGAAACGGAACGTCATCAGCCCTCGCCAGGATACGAGGAGTTGTTAGAAGTGGTGACGCGGGCTGTGGCCAAGCTGCACATTGATTGAACACAGGCGGTGCAGCAGCCGTCGGTGGGCAGCAAACTAGACGAGCGAGATGACGTCCGATTTGGTGGGCAAGGCCTACATGGCAGCGGGTCGAACTGGTGCCAGCCTGCACACGATGGCTGTCTTGCAGGCATACCAGGCCGATCTCCTTCGGGACTGTGACGTAGGGGAAGGTCCCTCTGAGGAGGACCTGACTGAGCTACATAGAGCGACGGACTTAGCTCTCCGTGTGACCAAGGAAACGGCCTGTTCCATCGGCCAATCCATGGCGGCTTTGGTGGCTACGGAGCGCCATTTGTGCCGATACTTCCTGGTTCCCAAGAAGGACGGAGGATTGCGTCCGATTTTGGATCTGCGGTCCCTGAACCAATCTCTGAGGAGATTCAGGTTCAGGATGCTTACCATCCCCGCCATCATCAGTCACATCCAATCCGAGGATTGGTTTGTCACAATAGATCTGCAAGATGCTTATTTCCACATCTCCATCTGTCCCTCTCACAGGAAGTTCCTGAGGTTCGCCTTCGGGGGCACGGCTTACCAGTATCGGGTTCTTCCGTTCGGCCTAGCACTATCTCCCCGCATGTTCACCAAATGCATGGATGTAGCTCTGGCCCCGTTGAGGCTCCAGGGCATCTGCATACTGAACTACATCGACGACTGGCTCGTCCTGGCCCAGTCTCGCGAGTCCTCGCCCACCTTCAGCGTTTGGGGCTGCGGCTGCTGACACCCGGCCAACGGACTACGTTCCTAGGGGTGGTGTGGTACTCAACGACGATGTGGGCCCACCTGTCTCCCGCACGCGTCGAGTCCATTTTGTCCACAGTGGAGTGCAGTTAGGCCGCGCCATCACTGTAAATGATGCCATGGTGCAGATGTGGCCGAGGCTGCGTCTGTATGCGTTTCCCCCCAGTCGCTCTGTTCCTGGGGGTCAAGCACCTGACCCTTAAGATGACCTTTCTCCTCGCTATCACCTCTCTGAGGAGGGTGGGAGATCTCCAGGCACTTTTGATTTCTGCCCGATGCCTGGAGTTTGGCCCGGGGAGGGTCAGGGCCATCCTACACCCTTGTCCAGGTTATGTCCCTAAGGTTCCGGCCAGACTGGCAGGGTCCACGGTGCTGCAGGCGTTTCATCCCCCACCTCATGTGACAGCGGAGGACGGGAAACTTCATCTGCTCTGCCCTGTCAGAGCACTGAGTATTTACACTCTGAGGTCTTCCCGGTGGAGGAAAGCAGACCAGTTGCTGGTGTGTTCGGGTCCCACAAGGCTGGGCTCCCCGCTTCTAAACACACCATCAGCAACTGGATCATTCAGACTATTTCCCTGGCCTATCAGGTGCACGGTTTGCCTTCACCTATGGCCGTAAGGGCGGCTTCTAGGGCCCTCCTCGCAGGGGCGTCACTCCAGGATTTGTGTGACGCCGCTGGCTGGGCCACCCCTCACACTTTTATCCGGTTTTACAGTCTGGACCTTCCTTCTGCACCCGGCACCCGTGCGCTCTCCTCCTAGTTGTGCCGTCAGGTTCTGCACGCTGGGGGCAGGCGGGGTTTCGGCGCGGCTCCGGTTACGCCG